CGGTGGCTGACTGGGCAAGCGGCCCGGTACACTGGAGCTGATGGCCCCGGGATTCCCGCTGGAGAAGACGGAGAAATTGCCGAAGCCGTCCAATGTGGGGGTGGATACTCCCATCGTGCTGACGGTGCTGCCGTCCGCCGTGGAGGCCAAACCAGGGGCGAACGAGGTGGCAGTCGTGGCGCTGGCTGGGTCCTGGCCGAAGTGATCGTTCTCTAGTGTAGACATCGGTTGTGTCGGATAGGCGAAAGGGTCGTCCGATGGGAACATGATGGGCATTAAATCTGGGAACTGACTGGGATTGGCGAATGCGTGCGCCCCAAATTGATTTTGTGTGACGTCGCCCAAAGCGAGCGACATGGATACCGGAGACGCCCCTGTCGAGGCGGGTGTCCTGTCGTTGTTGGATGCAATATCCGACGGCGTGGACACGGTATCAGCAGCCATCTCGGGCGTGGACGGAATCCACGTTGAAGGCTGGCTTGGGCGCACATTAGAAGCAGGACTGCGGCTAGCAGCACTGTCATCGAAGCTCTTGGGGGTATTGCTAGCCTCTTGCTTCACTGACCGACTGAGCAATTGCGTGGGGAAGGTGTTGGCACGCTGTGGTGGTGGCATCTCCAATGGCACCGAGGCGGCAGCGCTCGCGGCGCTCTTGGCGGGAGGCGGGCGGTGGTGGTGGCCAGACGAAGGGGCAGGCCGCTTCAAGCTCGCCCGCTTCTTCGCGCTCTGGCGATTCTTGAGCAGCTCCGGCAGGTTCTTGAAGAGACCATTGAGACTCTGAGAGCACCGATCTGCCGCCATGCTCTTCTTGGCTAATCCTGCCAGTGTGTTTTTGCCTTCCATGGCGTCTTTGAGGACGCCGTCCTTTGCGGTCGGAGAGTCGGGATTCTCGAGCACGAAGAACAACAGCGACAAAATGGCGAAGTAGGTGGTATACATGGTGAACCAGAACGATCCATTGAGTAGGCCTCTCTTATGCATGCCAGTCGTGATATGTACGATGTTGCGTGAGACACTGACACAGGCCGCAGCGCAAGCGTAGGATCGCCGGTCCACTCCTCGAGCTTGCGAGCCGCTGGAGACATAGTGAAGGAAGGGCCGGTAAAGTATGACCTGGACGTGGGCGTAACTAATGCGGAGTAGTTGGCGGATGCTGTAAACAGTCAGTAACAAACACTAGTCAACTCCTGGAGATGCAAACAACTTACCGCTCGAGCTGTGGGGAGACCTCCGTCCCCGGTCGCAGAGCCGCGGGAAGCTCTTCCATCCAGGCCTGAAGGTCCCTCTCGATCTCCCGGATTTTTGAGTGGCTGACCACATAACGCTGATCCGAAGCGACAGGATGTTGCGCTTTCTTCACAGGGTAGATGTATTGCACAACCTTAAGGGTGATGTTAGTCAACCGAGTATGCGCGATAGCTCCAGCCATCAAAGGGGTATGATCCGAAGGCACGGGTAGGATGCCGTTCTTGGTGATAAATTCCGAATCGACCGATTCTGGGTACACCTGATCGATATCATCGTCGTTCAGCATCAGAGGTAATCCGAGCAACGTGCTGACATAGACATCCATCCTGCGAATCGTCCAAAAGATGCGTTTGCGCATCTCCTGCTCAAGAGGGGTGAAGTGCATCGTCACGTTGCGGTGCAGACCCAATCGCAGAGCGGACCGCTGTGCGATACCAATATAAGAGTAGCATGTGCTAAGTTTCGCGGACGATTGCAGGAATAGAATCATGAAACAGATGGCCTGGAGGGAAGTCAAGTCGCGGCAGTCTGTAATTTCCAGGAGCTGGCGACCTGCTTTGAAGTATTGAAACCTACAGTCGCAAATTAGTTCAATGCTCGAACCAACCGAGGAGAAACGACCTACCCTTGCCCGATAGCACCCTCGTAGCCTGAGATATCCAAGGTACTGGAGCCATCGTCAGAAAACAGACATCCGACGGCCATTACGATATAGAGTAGCGGCAGGAAGGAATTCTCCTCGTTGGTAAACTGGTCTAATGGCGTATCATAGATTCGGTCAAACATGGTGTAGAACGTAGGCTCATGCACGAAACGCATTAGCGCGCAGGAATCATCCAAGGCATTGTGACACAGTCGCCGGCCAATTTCCCGGGAGGGAAGATCATGAGTGGGCGGCAGGGACGCATCTTGCGGTGATTCGGATACGGACTTGGGGCTGTCAAAGAGCGTTTGCGCGACCGGTCGCGATCGGAGAGTGGGCAGCGGCATATCGGAAGCTCCGAGCTGCTTCCGCAGGCGTCGGATAAACGTCATACCAGAACTATGCCCATGATAATCCCAATGTCCCTGATCATCAAGATCGAGGTAACCGGAGTTATCGACCATCGACTCAAGCAGCGATTCATCACCATTAGCCCCGTCGGCGGTCGCGTCGTCCGCGGGGGCGGGGGCGGAGGGTTGCGATCCGTTCGTCGCCTCAGCAGGTGCAGGTGGTGCAGCCGGTTCCTGCTGCAGCTGCAGCTGCTGCTGCGGAGGAGGCGGTGGTTTTTCACGCTTTATGGCGGCCAGCATCTGCTCGGAGGCATGCACGTCGAATTGTGGATCGTCCAGATTCAAATCCGGAAGCACGACGCGCAGCAGGGCCTCGGCTTTGTGCAGTCGATTTTCCAGGGCTTCAACATATTGCGGGGCGGGGTTGCGACGACGGTTGGAAGGTTGGTCGTAGGTACACTCTGTGGGCGGCCGAAGCTGATGAGCGACCACGACCAGTGAAGAGTTGCGGAAGGAGGTTGCGACAGGGAGAATGGAGACTTACCGTAACTGTAGACCGTGCAGTGCGTGCACGGCTGCTTGCCGTCGCACTTGATTTTCTTGCGACGACATTCATCACACGCGCGCGTTACCCTGCGACGCTTTTGCATAGGCAGTGGTTCCTTGACCGGCTTGAGCCCCTCGTCCGTCATGGGTAAATCATCTTCGTCATGAAGAGCCGAGACAGCGGGATCGACATCATCATGGGAAGCAAAGAACGAATCGGAGACAGCAGAGGGATCGTCCTCATTCGCAGGGTCGGCATTCAACGGACCGGAAGGGGATGCCATGAGGGAGAGAGAGGCAGATGACGTGGGGGAGGGGGGTTGGGTGGGAGCAGGAGAAGATCGATCTCACGGCGGTCGGCGCAACGACATGCAAGGGGGTATGAGCAAGTCGGAGATCCGGTCGGAAGGGATAACGAGGAAGGAACTGTTCCGATCAGTAAGGGGACGGCGACCCGCGTGGCGAGCCGATGAATGATCGCACGTCCACGAGGGTGTGGAATTGGCGTCTCACAGGGTCATGGAAGGCACCACGAAGTGGGAGGGAGGAGGGACCGAGGGAGGGACCGAGAGCAGCTCGACGAGCGTTCGCCGAGAGAGTGAAAGGAAGATCGACAATTCACTAAAGCGAAGGCACTGGCTTGTTTGCAGTGGAAAATAGGTTGAAAGCCAAGAAAGAAAGAGACAGAGAGAGAGAGAGTCGGTGTATAAAATAATAGGTAGGAAGAGTAAGAGTAAGAGTAGGTAAGAGGAGTCGAAGAGACGAAGAGTCTGGTTTGTGTTTCTCACTGGCTGAGTGTCTGAGTGACTGAGTGTCGGAGTGTCTGTCTGTCTGAGGGTCTGTCTGGGGCACCGGCGGAAGAAAGGATTTATTAGTAAGACTTGCGCTGACTCAAAAAAAAAAATAGTCCACCGATTGCCCAGACCATGCATCATACATCGGACCTCCGATCCCATGACAGTCATATTTTCCCTTGCCCCATCTACCGCCTCTTGTTCCTGTTCTCTCTACCTGGATCATGGATGAAGAGGACAGATGAGGAAGCAAAGTGGTTGGGGTAGTTATAGTGTACTATACTGTATAGTACTGTATAGGCCGATTGACCCGTCGGGAAATTGGACGCTATATCCGAGAGAGGGAAAGGTAGAACAGCAAACGAATCAAGCATTCGGGAAATACGAGCGTGAGGGAAGGGGGCCATTTACATTGGTCTCTCGGAGGGAAACAAGATGTTTCCTTGGACAATTCTATCCTTTTCGACAAAGTCGTTCGTCAAGAGATCCTTGTCGAAGTGCTTGGTTGCGGATATCCAGCGAACGAATGCGACGGAGGGACCCTTTGCGCACACAGAGGAAGGAACTGGGATGGAAAGGGGCCAGAATGGCGAGGAACTGGGGAGTAGAGGGAGAGAAAAGGAGACTAGATGAGCCAATGGAGACAGACCAGATTTCCAAACTACGCACATGCAAGCAGAAGTGAGAGTTGAACGTGAGGGAAGAAAATGGCTCATAGGTAGGGCTAGCTTCGGCGAATTGGCCGGCATTTGTCGATGTCCAGGTATATCAGCATAAGGCAGTCGGCGAGCATTATTTATGCTGCTTCGTTATTCTAGCATATGAATTCTCTTAGTCAGTTTCATTTTATGCCATCACACAGAAAGTGCTTACTGACAAAGTTCCAATGATCCCACGGATCGGGGCATGGATAGTCCATCCTTCATTCTCGGCGTCTTGGCCGATATGGTTAATGACTACTCGATCAGTCAGCCCTTCAAAAGGCTGAAGGGCGAAGAAAGGGTGCAAAAGTCCGCTTGAATGCCTCAGGCCATCGATATACCACGTCTTTTCCATTGCCATTCCACAATTATTTTTTATTATTTTTATATTATTGTTTTCCAGCCGGGGCATGAATGATTTAAAGACACCTGCGTCATTTGTCTCTCCCACAGTCCTCTACCGTTACGAGTATCTGTCTAATTGCTTACTGATCTGGAATTCGCCTAGACTCTATTTGTTTCATTGTTCCATTGTCGTCTGTCTACTATCATCAAATCCATTATTCAATCTTAGCTCAGCTCAGCTCTGCGCTGCGCTGCGCTTGCTTGCAACCCAACCCTCCCCTCAACGCCTTGAACTGTTAACAACATCTATATCATGTCATGACAATGTCATTCACTGATCCATGGATCTAATAAGAAATAACCATTAGAACATCACCAACCGAACCCAAGTCCGGCAACCGGGGGTCCTTCACGTGGCAGCTCGTATTCGCCTCGCTGGATCTGCTTCGCCCGAGCTTCTTCCAGAACCACACCCACTTTCCTAAAAGGAAACCCCCCTCCCAAACCATGTTCTCCTCTGCCTACCTGTTGGTCACCGCATGTTGTCTGTTCGCAACCCTGGGATCCTTCCTATTCGGATATGATTCCGGGGTGATCTCCACTGTCATCGACCAGGAGACGTTCAAACATCGATTCCATCGTCCCTCGGATGCCGCCACGGGCGGGATCGTCGCCTCGTATAACGGTGTGTGTGCATCTGGTTCCCTGCAAATCTGCTAATTGGCCCACCCGCTCACCCATTCCTTATTATTGGACTGAACACTGCAGACTGACTGACATCCTTGACCCTGTGACAGGCGGCGCCATCATAGGTTCCTTGCTTGTCTCATACCTCTCCGACCCGTGGGGTAGGAGACCCGTTCTGTTCGTTGGCGGTCTTCTGGCGACCCTCGGGGCCGCTTTGCAGGCGGGTGCGGTCAATGTGGCCATGCTCATTGCTGGCCGCTTGGTTGCCGGCCTGTCGGTGGGCCTGATGTCATCCATCATCCCCGTCTACTGTGTGCGTACCCTACCATACTCATCATACACAAACAACTCCAGCCCTTGTTCCTCACCATCCCCCTCTCCTCATCCTCAAATCAGTCTAACAATCAGTTTGAATAGAGCGAAGTATCACCCCCGCGAATCCGAAGCTTTTTAGGATCCCTACAACAATGGATGATTGGATTGGGGGCAGTCGTCGCAGTAGGTTGCTCGAACCACTGGAAATATATACTCTATGACCTGACTGTCTGACCTTCTCCAACAGCAATGGGTTGGATACGGCTGCTCTCTCCGCACAGGGAACTTCACCTGGAGCTTTCCGCTCGCCCTGCAAGCTCTGCCTGCGATCGTCCTCAGCGGTGGAATCTGGCTCCTCCCCGAATCCCCCCGCTGGCTCATCGAACAAGGTCGCATCGATGAAGGCCGCACCACGCTCACTCGCCTCCACGCAGCCAACACCTCCCTCATCGAGACCGAATACGCGCAAATTCGGGCCAGCATCGCCGAAGAGCGACGCCGCGCCCCGCGCACCTGGCGTGCTCTCCTCTTCACCTCGGCGACCTGGCGCCATCGCATCCTCCTCGCCTGCGGCATGCAAGCCTTCACGCAGTGCTCTGGCACCAACATCATCTCGACCTACAACCCGAGCCTCTACCGCTCGCTCGGCCTGTCCGAGACCACCTCGCTCATGATCCAGGGCATCTGGGGCGCGCTCGCCCAGTTCTGGAACACCGTCTTCATCATCCTGTTCATCGACCGGGTCCCCCGGCGCACCCTCCTCCTGCCCTCCCTCGTGGGCATGGGCGCCACGATGTGCATCGAAGCCGCCCTCGGCCAAGCCTACCGCAACTTCACCACCGACCCGCCCGCGCCCGCGACCGCCGTCCGCGCCGCCATCGCCTTGTTCTTCGTCTTCTCCGCCTTCTTCACCAGCCTGGGTCTCATCTCCTGGCTCTACCAGTCCGAGATCTTCCCCACCGCCATCCGCGCCCGGGGGGCCTCGATCGCCACCGCCACAAATTGGAGTCTGAACCTGGTCTTCGCCCAGTGCACCCCGATCGCGCGCTCGCGCATGGGCTTCAATTACTTCTACTGCTTCGCCACGTTCAATTGGGCCGCCGCCCTACTAGTCTGGTTCGCCTACCCCGAGACCGCGGGCCGGTCGCTGGAGGAGGCCGAGCATGTTTTCGATCGACGAGGATCGAAGGATGAAAGGAACCATGACCAGGGGCTGGAGCTCCAGCAGGACAGGAAAGGGGGATTAGCCATGGTTTCTTCGGCGGAGGCGAGTGCAAATCCCCTACACCACAGGTGACCCAAATCCCGAGGTGGAGTTGAAGAACTGCAAGCATCCTATATATATCTATAAACAATCTCCTGTTGTATATAATAGCTGGCTGCATTCTGCATTGGGGTTCTGCGATGAGATGCACAGTTAGCGTTGCATGATTGCAAAATCGAGTCAGTCGAAGCTAACGATCAAGATGTTTAATAAAAATCATCTCATAGAGATATGCTCCAATTGGTAATCAATTACAGTATCAGAAGAATGAAAGCAAAAAGAAATCTATGGCTGCAGAGTTCGTTGGTACAAGCTGGGGTATAACATGCAGTGAACAAAAGGGATGATGACGGATAAGCATATATGTATAAGAGAGGTTTCATCCAGAAATGTATAGTGCTGTTGCAGACGAATGAGCGGGAAAAGACTCTTGTCTATATCATGAGGATGGATCACAAGAAAGAGGGAAAGTGCAGGAAGGACTCCAATGAATGATGACCTGGATTGAACCCAAGACTTGGCAAGGTGTTGCAGATATCCATATGAGTCTGACGGGAAAAAGGGGTATATAGTCGTGGGCTGGTGTCATAGCTCTTCCAATGAGGGCATGGTATATCTGGTGAGCGGCGCGTTGGAAATCTCCTGTTGAAGGCTATCTTCCCACAGAGCAACATTGGGCATGCCCGGTTGCATGGTCAGGCAAGAGAAGAGGATATTATTAACGTGCATCCAAGACTCATAACTGAGACGCTTGGCGACCTTGAGCATCCGACCAGCGAACCATGGCCGATCGTATGGGCCGCTTGCGGTCTGGGAGTACTGCGTGAAGTCTGGTCCTTGGCTGCAGCTGTCGCTGGTCGTGTTGACATGGCCGTCCTTGCACTCGAGCAAGATCTGCAGCAGTGCCTCCACGGAACCGCTCATATTCACCTCGCTGTCCACCACCGCCTGCTGCAGCGTCTGGAGGAAAGTCTCGCTGTGCGGCACGGAATGTCGGTAGTCCCAAAGGGCCGCGTTGAGCATGAGCAGGGCGACCAGCCGCGCAACGAACTGTTTGCGGTTGCCAGAGGCAGTGAAGCGCGCCCCGGGAGGCGCCGCAAGAATTTGGTGTAGTAGTGACCCTTCCTGGAAGGCAGTGTGGCGCATTTGAAGCGAGTTGGCGTCAGTAGTGCTCGCTTGATAGGCCGAAAGCTGTTGACATCGTTTGAGAAAGGTTATGAACTCATCGCATTGATTCTGAATTTCTTCGTATGGAAGTAATGGTCGAGGCCAGGAGAGGCTTAGCTCGACCGGAACAGGATATGAAGCCATCATAGGCTGGGCCATTGTAGCTGATTGCTGCTCGGAGGCACGTCTCTCACTTGGCTGTATCATCGGTGGTGCAGCATCAAAGAAGAAACTCGGTCCGTCAGTTTCATAGCCCGAGAGGATGTAATCTTGCCAATTGATCAGCATACCCAGCCGAGTATTATGAAATGCAGCGGGACCACCGCGGGCTCGGATCATCTCTCTTGCAGCTCGCATATGAAGCCAGCTGATTTGCTTGCGTCCAGGACGGGGGTCGAAATCTTCGAGTCCGGCAGCACTGAGACAAGCTATGATTACTTCGTCGGAGAAGTCATGAGGGTGTCTCTCACGGTGTTCGCGAAGCATGGAAATGGCCCGGTCGCGATGAATTAGACCTCTTTCATCCACTTCCTGATTGCGAACCCATGTCCATGTGTTAGCTGCATGGACAAGGATGGTATTCTGGAACGCCACTGGCCCTTTCATCCCTTCGGGAACGAAGACTGCCGTGTACCAATTGTGCGCTTTGGAGGATCGAAAATGGTTCCCGTAGGAGCAGGCAGGCATTTCGTTCACATAGAAATCGAACAACCGCTGGCTGTCAAGGTCCAACTCCAGTGGTAAGGTGTTGAAAGGATCAGTACGTGCGGCGCTGAGTATTGTTTTCGGAGATAGCGCCACTTCATATGGGGATGTCGGGGCGGAGGACCGTGGCGTCAAGCTCCCCAGCTCCGAGCTACTGCTTTGCGACGTCGCCGAGTACCATATCCGGGAGTCCGATGAGGAGCTGCTGTAGCTGGACATTTGACTGTCCCGGATCAGTAATGAAACGGATGACTCGGAGACTTGATAAGCGCCGACTTCTGCACCAAAGTTCTCCATGACCTCGGTGGAGTTGTGTTCACTGATTAGATGACTTGGGCTTGTTTCGGATCCATGTTGGTGCACAAGGTTAGCTGCAGTATCTTCAGCATTTTCGCCAATCTCTGCCTTGGGCCTTTTATCGGCGGGGTCATCGCGATGGCTGCTACCCTTGGCTTTCCGACGTGACCTGAAAGGTTTGCGGCCGCCTTCCCCTATGGTGTCATCAGGACCGATGTCAGACTGGCCTGCAGCCTGTCGCTTTTGTCGCATATATTCTTGCATGACATGGCGTTTGACTTGAGTTAGATTATTTCGGCTGTTACCCGAGGCGTTGATGAACTGCCACCGTACTTGAGGAGAGCCTGCCGTGGGCTCGATTGTGCTTGATTTGTCAGGTTCAGGGGACATGATTCCGAGCCGAGGATCCCGGACAGAGAATAGATACGTGTTGTAAGGTGGCTGGGATACCGCAATGCGGTTCTTTCGAGCAATGACTCGATTTGGCGTTTTTGCCGTCGTGGCCTTCGTAGTGTATGCTTGTTGAGCGAAGAGAAAGTCGGGACTAGTGTGATGAAATGATCATGTCATAGAAACCGTGGTAGTACGCTAGCCGAAGAAGTTCAACGAAACGAGCGCGGAGGTAGGCCGCAATGAGATGAGAGGGCTTGTCGGCCGGACCACTGAGACACCGGACAAGAGGGTATTCACGATCTCCGACAATCCACTTCGATTTGAATTGATTTATACCGTACGGGAAGGCCATTCAGTAGCCGGACATGGGACCAGCGGTATGACAACCAAGAGAACCTAAGATATTGGCGGATAATGCATCCAGACTAGTGATGCTTGAAGGAGGCTTTGCAGTCACAACGGCATGAATTCAGGGTGTAAGGGCAGATCGAGGGGATCGAGCTGTATATGGGGCAAAATCGACGACTGAAAGCTAAAATCCAAAAATAAGTTTGCAGGATCGCCTCTGGCAAGGAACGGAAGTGTGGCAGCCTGGCAGGGAAGGAGGGGACCTCAGTATGACAGCGCCAGGTGGATTTGTGTGGCACCACTAGAATATGAAGTGTGAGCTGAGATGGGTGGAAAAGGAGGAATGAGCTAAGTAGTGAAGGACTCGTGAGGGAGAAGGGAAGTGCACCGGATTATCTGATAAAATCGAGATCAACCTTGTGCTGACTGCAGATCCACAGGGAAATGATCATTGAACCATCTATAATCGGCCCAGAAGAAAAAAAACTTTGGGGCCGTATCAACAGTTTCGGAATAATCCCCACTGGTCCGTTCGGTTCAAGGTCAGGCAGAAACGAATAAACGGACTGCCACCGAGGGTGGTTTGTGGACCGAAAGACAGTCTAAAGACGAGAGTTCTTCAGGATGATAAGCAAAAGGAACCGTAAGCATCAGCAGGTGCAGATATGGGACCAGGCTAGCTGATTGCGGTAAAGTGATTTTGACCCTGAAGTTGTTAGTGGGAAGGGGACATTCGTTGATACGAAGAATAAAGTAGACTCCGTGTTGTCAGGCTGAAGTAGAAATAAGCTTAAGGGGTAAAGAGCCATTGCTGCCAGAAGGATTGCCGCTTGGCTGAGGGGGTGCGAGCGAATGTTTTAGATAGAGATGCACTCGTGTGGAGGTTACGAAGGAACACTGAAGAACTGTAAGTCAAAGGTTGTCGCACTGGAGAAGCGCAGCTCGAAACCTTGAAAGTCGAGGCCTGAGGGTTAAACTTACTGAGCCTGAGGCCGACAATGGTCTTTGCCTGAGGCTACACATTAGCGGCGTTAATTCTCACCGCCTTGGGATTAAGTCCGAGGCAAACGGCCTCCAGGGCTGTTAAAACTGATCCCATAATTTGTTCCGCGTCGCCGACCGCGCTGCCGCAGAGCTCTGAACCTCCCATCGCGTGCCTCTTTCAAAGACACCCATGGCCCAGACCAACGGCGCCTGAGAAATTGCGAAATACGTTTTTGGAGTTTTACCCCTCATTTTCTGTATCTTGGGGCTTGCAGACCGCGTCGTGACCCTACCACCGTTTCGCATCTTTCGCCGAACGCCGCCGCCATCCCCGTCCTCCACAGCCTGACAAAGAAGTGACAGGCTACGCAGCGCATTCCCCTACTCCTGATTTATCGCGTCGCATTCTCTCCCAAACTTTGCGATAGCTTGTAAGGATCGGAGACAACATCATGGTCAGGTGTTTGACAAGAACGGGCTTCATTTTTTAATACGTCCGGTGTTCTAGAACTCTTCCTTTCCCCCTCTCCCTGGGTAGAACCCTGGCCCACCTCTGAGACGCCGTGCTTGGCTTTCTTCGAGCTTTGCCGAGGAAACATAGACGAGGTAACAGTGGTCAGGTGCTCTGGGGATGGCTGGAGACCAACAACCTCCTGCCGTCTCGAGCCAGGCGAACGGCTCGGTGGACGAGAAGCGACCAACAAACCCTTACGAGACCAACCCCGAGCTCATTCCCGACGATGACCTTTTTCTTGCGCGAAGTGTGCATTACGGGCGGTATGCATCATCGGACAATGACTTCAAGCCTCGCCATGAGTATTGGTGCCAGTCGGATCCAGAAGTCAAGTCCTACTGGGAAGGCATTGTGAAGGATTTTTGCAAGCCAGAAAATTCACTGAATGTTCCGGGCGCGAGAGACGCTTTCGCTGCTGGCAGCGTCATCATTAGAGTCGACCGTGAGCCAGAAGCCGGTGCCGCAGCGGAGACGTATTCGTGCCTCAATGCGAATGAGCTCAGCGCGGCAAGGAAAGCCGAGGACGCCCTTCGAGATCTCGACATTACTGTTCCGGTGATATATTTCTGTGGCACCATCGAGAATAAAAATGTTACCGTGGAGTCAAGACTCTCCGGTGTCTCATTGGACGTTGCTTGGAAGTATCTCAGTGCTGATCAAATCGAAAACTTCAAGCAACAGTGTCGCCGCATATCCCAGCGCTTAGGAGACGCCGACGCCGCTCCCGACCGACCCTCATATGTTTGCAGCGGCCTCAATGTGCAATTTCCGCCCGACGTCCAGCAAGTCGAGAAGGATGTTCTTTTTCGCGAGAGGAAGAAAGGCGAACGACTTGCCTTAGTACATAACAACCTCATTCCGGCCAACATAGTTGTGAACAATGGTCAGGTGGTCGGGATCACTGGATGGCGACAAAGCGGGTACTTTGGATTTGAGCGGGCGGACGAATTACATCGCCGACTCAGGATTCCTGAGATTGCGTCTGCCGGCGAAGTTGAGGGTTCAATGAATGTATCCGAGGTATGGGCCGATATTTATGAAGGTCTGCCCACCATTGCCGGCGAGTCAGCATCTGCGACGAAGCACAATACACCTGTACCGCAAGTGAAGACCGAACCATCGAATGTGGAGTTGAATGGCGTTCCTCTTGATCATGAGCCGGACCACAAATCAGGGCTTCCTCAGCTCGATGGTACAGCATTGCCTGACGAACACCCAACTCCGAAGAAGATTGCTAGCCTCAAGAACCGAGAAACTTCCCGGGCGTCATCTTCCGATCGATCTTCTCCGGCAGTATCCACCAAACCTGGTGCCGCGACTAAGAAGTCCGGTATCGGTCTCACTAAGAAAGGCACAGCCAGGAAACCCGCGGCCAAGAAAAGGAAGTTGACTGATATGGACAATGAGAGTGCTGCAAGCAGGCGATCGAACACCCCTTCATCGCGTACGAGCAAAGCAGCTGGCAGGGTTAAACGTGGTTCCGCGTCCATCGCGAGCTCACCGGCGCCCGAAGCCAAAAAGAAAAACGCCAAGAGTAACCTTGTGGAGGATGTGGAAGAGGAGGAAGAAGAAGAGGATGACTCTGAAGACAATGATGAATTGTTCTGCATCTGTCGTAAGCCGGACAATCACACCTGGATGATTGGGTGCGATGGTGGCTGTGAGGATTGGTTTCATGGGAAATGCGTCAACCTCGACCCTCGAGACGCTGACCTGATTGACAAGTATATATGTGAGTCGGCTTCCCAAATCAACCTTCTATTTTTTGCCACTACCATTATGTTCGGATAATGATCTTGTCATGGGATATTGGACTGACAAGGAATAGGTCCGAATTGTAAGGAGCAGGGCAAGGGCTGGACAACCTGGAAACCCATGTGTCGGCTGAAGGAGTGCAGAAAGCCTGCCCGTGTCAATCAAGACAATCCCAGTAAATACTGCTCAGATGACCATGGTCGAGAGTTCATGCTTCAAAGGACTAGGCTCCTATTTGTGAGTGCCGGGCCTGGCGCTCGGAAGTCAGCCGCTCGGGCAGCTCTCGGTGGGCTGGGATCCTCAACGAACAGCCCATTTCCCGACAGCGCGTCCTCTCGAGAAGGAAGTGGTCCAGATACAGGTAGTGGATATGACAATGTTGAGAAGAATAATTATCCAGAAGACCTCGGAAGCAGAGGTGGTGTTCTCACGACCGGAGACCTCAAGGCAGTGGTCACGGGCGTCAGCTCAGCGGAAGAATTCCGCAAGCTGGGAGAGAGCATCATCTCGGTCCCTGCACCAGCGAAGGGCCCCGCTACAGGGGCCAAAGAGGATAACAAGAAACTGGGCCTTGACTTCGATGTGGATTGGCTCACATATGCACCCGACGAGGCCGCGATGATCGACAAGCTGCGCAAACAGCGTGATGGCCTCGTCCACCGCCGAGAGATGCTCAAGGCTCGAAGCCACTTTGTGACATTGGTGCGGCAGCGCTCCAAATGTATTTTAGACAAGCTGAAGCAGAAGGAACCCAAAGGCGGATGGAAGGACATCTGTGGCTTCGACTACCGGCTGGCGTGGTCAGACGAGGAGTTCGACGAGTGGCGGCTTTCAGAGCTGGGGGCAAAAGCACTCAAGGATGGCACGCCGGAGGCACTGGCGTCAAGCTACACCGATGCCACCGACGCAGATGGCGATACTGCCATGGGAGATGCGAAACCCGCCGGGGATGATCTGGAACATCTATCCCATGGCGTTTGCATCAAGAAACGCTGCGAGCGGCACAAGCAGTGGGTAAAGGTGCAACAGCAAGATGGCCTTTTCGAAGAGAGTACCCTGGCCCAGGACCTTAAAAAATGCGAGAAGGAGGCTCAAAACGTGGTGGAAAGAGCCGTTCTCAGGCTATGGGCGGAGGAAGACAATGCTCAGATCAGCAACCATTGAGGATGTGCTTTCCTCATGATTCATCGCCACTGTTTGCCTCGCGCAACTTCATTACCGTTTTCTTTCTCTTTTCTCTTCTTCTTCCCGAAATTTTGTCAAACCATGACATTTTGTCTTCACCTTGTCCCCCCAAAGGCCGCCCTTTTGACGGCGTGCTTGATTGATACCCCCCCGTCTTTCTTTACCGGAAAAGAAAAAAGCAGGAAATCGAACCGGAGTTGGTTCTACATGGCTGTTTTTCCTTTTCTTTTGGGTCTGTGGAAAACATACTGATGGAACATGTTGCATGCGTAATAGAAGGAAAATGGGGTTCTAGGAATGTATGTGTGTGTGTGTGTGTGCTGCTTACATTTGCTAATAGTTTTGACACCATTTTCCCATGAATGATGATAGACCATTTGCATCTTGTTGTCTTGTGTGCTCCCAGTAAACCTTGCCATCGTTACTTCCGATATTCTCGTGGCCTGAATCGACAAGCACCCAGTATTCAAATGCTCTTCCAAACACACCACTTCCCGATCCCCTCGCCCAGCCGGTCCTTGATAACCTCCACCACCACCCCTGACCTTTTAGTCGACACTAAGATATGTGTATCAAGCCCCTGGTCCAACGTCCGCATCAACAAGCTCGGAAACAGGCTCGCCCCGTTCGCGCCAAATGCAGATCGAATCCCATTTTCTCGGCTGCCGGGCTCATCCTGCATTGCGATTGACCCGCCACTCGCATAATTAGCATTGGCGGTCGCTGTTGTCGTCCCTAGTCCACTCGTATTGACTAGCAGCACCGACACCGTTGCAGGACTAGTGGTGCGGGTCAAGTGTGTTAATGTTCGGAGGGCAGTCGTCAGGGCGGCCGCGCCTCGCGCTGCGTTGGACGTGCGCACGACGCCCTCGGCGAGGGTGTCGAGGCCGGCGACGAGCATGATGGCTTTGTTGGGCGGCAGGGATTCGCGGCCGGCGGCTGATGATGATGCTACGGCTGAGCTGATTTCGTGGATTGCTTGTGATGCGGCGTTGAGGTCGAAGACGGGGAAGAGTTGGACGCGGTCGAGGCAGGCGATTGCGGCGTCGCGCGTGAGGGGCTGGCGGTTGGTGGTAGAGTTGGTGGTGTTGAGCAGGGAGGCGAGGAGTCTTCTGGGGGAGAAGGCGTTGAATGTGGCTGGGTGGACGATATAGATGGTGGTTGAGTTGGGGGTGTTGAGGGTTTGGCCTTGGCGGATCAAATGGGCTGTGAGCAGAGCTCGAGGAAGCTGTTAACTGGTTAAACTGTGGCCAAAGGATTGTGAACATGATGCGATGTAGATGAACACTCGATAGGGGCTTCCAGGAATCGAGGTCTGGCCTGGTAGGGTCGTGATGCTCTTGCATGAAGATAGAGCTTACGGACTGATGGATTTTGGTAGCTGACATGCTCTTACCTGGCTTAAGTATTCATCATCTTCTGTATTCTCGTTGCTCTTGCTTCGGAGCCGCGAGAAACCAATAACAGAGCCAGCGCGGAATACACTCCCCCGCGATGCTTGCAATCCAGCATTGATATCTGCGTAGAGGTTCCAGGACTCTGTCGGGTGCGGCGGATGACTTGAGTCTATGTCGTCCACGGACTGCCGACTACTACTGCTTGCTTCATCGGATAACAGCAACTTGTGTGCCAGAGTGGGAAGCGCAGGTTCAGCAGCATGTAAGTTACTGGTGGAATCCATGGCTGTCTGAGTGAACGATATCGCCGGCGGTGTTAGATCGTATACTTCTATAGTTTTTGGGATCGAGAGTGGCAGTGCTTCGTAGCAAGTCAGCTGGTGCGGAGGTTAGATTATTGTAGAGCATACTTATTGAGAATGTAATAAGCGAGCAATAGATTCAATAACTAGATTGCTGGAGGTATTTTATGCAATGTAAAATGAGTAGGTATTAGTGTGTGTATGACAGTGGAATCGAAGAATGGGTCCAGATTAGATTGCGGCACGTGTTGAAGCCTGGTATGTAAGGCATCAAATCATGGTCAGAAGCATGCTCCAGTATGTTAGAGTCTTGAACAGCGTTAGAGACAAGACAATGGCGGAACGGAAGATCGGCAGGAGGTCTACTCTAAAAATGACGGTAGATAGATGCAAGGATTTGGGAGCGCAGAATACACAGACAGGCTCGGACAAGAAAGTACACCAATGGTATGAAAAGGTGATGAATTGTGAATTGCAAATCAAATAGCATAGGGTCAGGCCGGGATGATTATCTATTGTGATTGGCGAAAGGCTTTACTTTGCAAATGAAAATTCGCAAATGGCTTAATTGCAATTTTTGGTTGTGGGAAGTCGATGATTAGGCTATCATGCGCCCAGTGTTCGAGGACTGGTTCTTGATTCCTCCATTCGACGCTGTTTTAGTCCATTCCCCATGGCCATTCGTCTCCCATTCAGTATCTTGGAACTTTGCGCCTAACGATTGGCTGAGTTCAACACGAAGTGCCTCGTTTTGGTAGTCAAGGGTGCGGAAATGAACAAGCGAAGCGCTACGTCCCAGCTCGATGATGGAATGAGCGATGATATCGTACCCCGTAGCCAGCTCCATCCATGGATCGTTAGGATCGATAGGGCCTCTGTTTGCCAAGTCAATGGCCGAGTCTTCTGAGCATGGGGCCAGTTGTACGGTGAATGATTGCAAGTTCATCATCAACTCCAGGGCATCTAAGACCAATTTCACATGATTATAGAAGGGGAATATAGCGGTGTAGCTGAATGAAGTCAGATGTCGGAGCCCGCGCGATATGGACAGTTTCTCCTCTTCGGTACCCATGGAGGCTATGGTGCCCCATTTACCAAGCACGGACGGAACCTCAAATAAGAAGTACTCATAATGTGCATACGCTCTGAGCGAGGAGCCCTCATTGAATCTGAGAGATGAATAGGCCATGATATCCAACGGGTTGGATGACGGGTTAGTCGTGAAGACCGGGGACTCAGGCGGTATACTTCGCTCCCACTGACACAACTGATGAGTAATTTGAAATGCCCAACTGTGCTCCTCCGGAGCCTTGGTGTTCAACATGGCTCCAATCCGCGAAGGTGGTGCAAGAACAGTGATCCGCAATGGGTTGAGGTTGGACAGATGCCGAAGCAACCGATTGATGTCCAAGTCACGAGGCGGATCATTCCCGAGTAGCACGACAAGCGAGGTGATATAGCGCTCTAATCTATGCGATGTGACAAAATTGAGAAAGTCATACAAATCATCGAGATAGAATCGAGAATGCGCGTAGAGTCTGGATCGCACGAGCTCGAGCAGCCGGGAGGATACTTGTGCGGCATTCTTCAGATTCTGCGTACTGGAAGCTGTGAAGTGTGTTGTGGGTGTATGATGAAAGTTGGATTCGGAGGGAGTAGCCACTGGAAGATAGCTCACAATCTCATCCAGGATTTCATTCGGCAAGTTTTCGAGACATGACAGCTGCGAAGTCATCGTTCGATTGCCTAGAGAACTTGACGATCCTTAATGAGGTTTCACATCTCAGGAGCACACTATGATTACCGGGCTTTGACCGGGTTGAGCGCTAGATGTTAGTAGTTCTGTGGTAAGAGACACTGATGGTCGTGACAATAACGAGTCCACAGCACAAGAGATATGTTGGTTAAGTGCCATGTGGAATAGCTATAGCCAGCAGGCGGTGAGGATGGAATAGCAGATCGGGAGTTCGAGATGTTGTCAAGTGCCGCGATTCCCCACAGCTTCCAAGCACATGATTCCATGCAATTAGGAGAGTTTTGATAGGGTATTATGCTTGCATCCGGTCAGTATGATGGTGCAAAGTTGACCAGCGCTTGAGAGATAGAGGTTCGATGAATATACTATGTCCTTCAGCACCATTATGATAGTCAAGTAAGTTGTTCAACTGCGAAAGAAGTTGGCAGATAAAGTCGATTGACGTCTAAGCTCTGACAGGCGAAATTATTCTGGACGCTCGGCAAAGGCGGCCTTACCTGAAACAGACCAAGTGTGGAGAAGGTCGAGGCACTAGCGTCTCCCCCCGCACCAGCAGAACAAAAGTGCATCCTGCTAGACACTGACATGCATCCCACTGCTTTTCATTTGCAACGCAACCAATGCAACCAATGCGACCAATTCACTTCCTGCAGTATCAAAACGCTATGATATGAGTCTATGTCATGCTCACAGACTGGGTGTAGCCGGAATGCTCAAGACATATTCAATAACCCATGCGATTGTCTGAAAAATGCATGCCTCGCTGAGTCAGGCCTTACAACATCCATGATGTGCCCCACACCGGTCGATCAAAGCTTCCGCCACCCTTTTTGCGATTATGATTCATGGAATCCCCTTCCCGAGGACTTTACCTGGCTACGGTCAAATTATTATGCTCTCCATGGAGATACAGGAAAGTATCGATGGGATCGAAGAGCTTTTGGGATCCCCAGGACTTAGAAGTATGATGACCGGCCGTCGAAGTCACAATTCCATGCCGAAGGCCGAAACAAGGTAGCCGACAAAGAGTGACCGATAGGAACCGGGAAACTCGAAACTCGGATCTAAGAGTAGATTTGGACCAGGCCTGTGGGGCACAGGCTGAACAGATGGTTCCTCCTGCTCCGGACTTCGGATCTCGCAGTCTTGCCTTGAAAAGTGCTGCGTGCCCCTCCCCCTCCTTTTCATCCCCTTTCCTGCCTTTCTAACTGTTGTTTCCCCCTATCTGCTTCACCAATATCCTGTCCTTAGTGAGTTTCGTCTTGTTGGAGGAAATAGCGAGAGGTTTCAGTTAACGCGTCTTAGCTCATTGCATCTTGTCTCTTGTCTGTGCATCACAATGGCTCCTCAACTGCACCGCAATCCCCCTTTCCGTGCTGAGCACCTGGGCTCTCTGCTTCGGACCGATGATCTTCTGAAGACCAAGATTGCTTTCGAGAAGGGTGAAGTCTCCAAGGCTGAGCTGGATGTCATTGAGAACAAGGATATCAAGGAGGTCGTTGAAACACAGAAGAAGCTCGGCTATGCCGCCATCTCTGATGGGGAGTATCGCAGACACAGTAAGTCACTTCCCCGTGCTGTAGGAGCCTTCGTTATATGTAAGGTTATAAGGCCTAACCAGACCTTGAAATTAGTGTTCTGGGGTACCTTCTTCCCTGGCTTGGAGGGATTCGACGAGGTGACCGACTTTGACGCCGACATCTTCCGCCCGTATGCGCCTGATGTCGCTGCCTTCCTTGAGGCCGGCCACAAGCCTGGTGAGACCGTCCTGTGCACCGGCAAGATCAAGCACGTTGGCAGCACGTATGTCGATGAGTTCAAGTACCTAGCCAGCGTGGTTCCCGCCGATGAAGTCAAGAACCTGAAGATTACTCTTGCCGCCCCCAACTGGTATCACTTGCGTTACAAGGAGGGCAAAGCCTACCCCAAGGATGCCTACAGCTCCGACGAGGAGTACTTCGGCGACATCGCCAAGGCCGTCCAGGCTGAGCTGCAGATCCTCTATGACGCTGGCTGCAGGAACGTCCAGTTCGATGACCCCAACCTTGCTTGTAAGGCTTACCAACCCATAAACAATAAGTGAAATGCACAGATAGCTGACTGTGATCATCAGACTTCTGCTCCGAGAAGATGCTTGCCGGGTGGAAGGAGGATTCTCTGAACGTGCGCTCCGCCGATGAGACCTTCGAGCAGTACATCAAGCTGTACAACGATTGCGTCGCCAAGCGTCCCGCTGACATGCACATTGGTGTTCACCTTTGCCGTGGTAACTTCGTCGGCAGCCGTCACTTCTCCGAGGGTGGCTATGACCGCATCGCCACTAAGCTCTTCAAGGAGCTCAACGTCGACACCTACTACCTCGAGTACGACACCCCCCGTGCCGGTGGCTTCGAGCCCCTGAAGGAGCTCCCCACCCACAAGAACGTCATCCTCGGTGTGGTGACCAGCAAGTTCGCCCAGCTCGAAGACAAGGAGGAGATGAAGAAGCGTGTGTACGATGCCGCCAAGTTCATCGCCGAGGGCAACAACATCTCCCTGGAGCAGGCGCTCAACCAGGTCGGCGTCAGTCCTCAGTGCGGCTTCGCCAGCCACAGAGAGGGCAACGCCATCGACCGTGAGGGCATGATCGCCAAGCTGAAGCTTGTCCGTGAGATCGCCAACGATATCTGGCCCGGTCAGCTGTAAATCAACAAGCCAAGACTCAGGGCGACTACCACGAAGGAGTTCGGTCCCTTCCAAGGCCAGACTCCGACTCCTGTCGATTTCAACAACGAACGTGGAGTGATGAACGAACGTGACGACAACTTTTGTGTGTTTAGGATACCACTTATTTAACATATGGTTTTAAAATGTACAGTGTTAGTGAAATATGATTGAGCCTCTGATTTATTCGAAGAATCATCCCTACCGTACTCTAAGAAGCAGAATGTCTTTGCTTATGCGGGCGGGTGGTTGAGTACCTTGGAGGTTCCCCAATGTGGAAACATGCAAGGTTCAATCGCTTACCTAGTCACTGACAAGCCCAATGTAGATCGTGCTTTCGCGAACCTACAGCATCATTCATACCTAAGCCAATTTCACCTGGAAGCTTCCCCGTCCGCTTGCTCCGATAGAACCTACAGCCATAATTTCCCATAACCTTGCAGTACGGGCTGATCCTGGCCAGGACCATTCCCTGCAAGGTGGGGTCTAGATCGCTGTCTGATACGAAGCAAAGTCACATGCTTTGCTCGTGAGTGGCTTGATCCCCAATAATTTACCATCAACAGCACCCTAGGATAGCACGTCAAATGTACGTCAGACACGCCAGTTAGACACAGTTCTCTCTTTCCCTAAATATCTAGCAGCTATGAAAGACAGAAAGCAGCTCAAGAACAAAGACATCATTAAAACACGATATATGTGTGGAATGCATGTATGTGCTGGTCCCAAGTTTTTTCCCTTCTATTTTGAAAATGTTTCTACACATCGCCGAAGACACGGGGGTGGTGACGAAAATAATAATGTGAAGAAAAGTCAAAGCCAAGACGAAAAAGAAATGGTAAGGAGTATTATTAGGGGGAGGGGTATTGAAATGGCCCGCATCGGAACAGTGAGGGATATCATGAAAAAGAGAAGAATGAAATGGCGGAAGAGGCATGCGCAGGAGGAAAAGAAAAAAGAAACACAGGGTTCAAATGCTGCGTCTTCTGTCATCAAAGCCGACGTGAAACGAGGAGGTGCCAACTGATTCGGTGTAGATGGAATGGAGCATGCTGTACACGAGAGGGGGCATTGGAATAGCCTCCGATTCACGACTGCAGAGGTTTGGCGGCCGGCGTGAGAATAATCTATTTCTGAGGTTGGGTCTTGACGTTGTTGGAGAGCCAAGCCTGCAAGAATGAAAGGTTAGCCCTGTTAAGCCGAGGTATGGGATTGTTGACTTACAAGACCCTCAAAGATACCGGTACCCTCCGTTGCGACACTGGGCGCAACATACCACAGCTTGTCCTTGAGCTTGTTGAGTTGCAGTGCCTGGGTGACGTCTTCAGGGCTCATATCTGCAAATGACAGCTGATTAGCTATTGACTTTGAAGTCAGGAATGGAAGGTACATACGGCCCTGGACATCCTGCTTGTTAGCAAAGACAAGGAGCAACGCATCCTTCATTTCGCGATCATTGATGATCTTGTGAAGCTCCGAGCGGGCCTCTTCCATTCGAGCAGTGTCGCTGGAGTCGACGACGAAAATCAGACCTTGTGTACCTGGTCGGAGAAACAGCGTTAGCATCAGACACCATCGAAACTAGCTGCTCCGTGCAAGTCGTACCGGAGTAGTAATGTCTCCACAGAGGACGGATCTTGTCCTGACCACCGACATCCCAGACGTTGAATTTGACATTCTTATATGTAACGCTCTCGACGTTGAACCCGACGGTGGGGATCGTGGTGACATCCTGGTTGGTAAGTTTCAACTTGTAAAGAATTGCTGTTGACACCTCGATTAGTACAAATATTCACTATTGGTTGGCTGACAAGGAGCGATCAGCAGGGAGCCTCACTGGTCTTTCCAGCAGCATCCAAACCCAGCATCAAGATTCGCATCTCCTTGGTGCCGAAAATCTTCCCCATTATTTTAGACACGGAACCGCCCATTGTGACACACGATAAGCGACCGCCGATGGTCGCAGATTGCTAAAGAGAAAGAGAGGATTGAAGATTATGTTGCGAGATCGTTCAATGACTGTTGCCCGGTAAAATAGCGATCGGAGTTGCAGTCGCTGGAAGGAGAGAATGCGTTATTAGGGGAGGGGGTTGTGAGGAGGAAGGAGGACGAGGGAGAAGGACAGCGAGCTAAGCACGGCCGGAGGGTCAATTTCTTTTCCGTCCGCGTGAACAAGGTAATGGTGGCCCATTATTGGCAATGCGCCGAAGTACGCAAGGTAAACAAGACATACAGAACTTACCTGGAGGGGAGGAGAGGAGGGGGAGGGAAGGCAGCGAGGCCAACAGAAGATTGTAGAGAGTGAGTGTATGAATGAATGAATGAGTGGACGGACAAAACGAACGAACGGCACACTGACAAGACCAGCAGGGGTAAAAGTCAATTCGACCGTGACTGACCAGAGGGAAAGGAAGAGAGAGGGTAGGAGGAGGGACAGCAACAACAGCAACAGCAATAAGAATTCAGGGTTCACGATCCACCTCACGAGAAACGATTCTCCTTCTTGCTTTGCTTTCATTTTCTAGCAAAGCTCGAGCGCCTCCGTAAAAGGGGCTACCCAATGACTAAGCACCCACCCCCCGCGCCAAGCACTTCGGCTGTTTCAGACTCTCATACAATCATTTATCATCCTGGTCCGCTTGTGTTATCAGACGATCGGATCCAGTTGCCAGGGGGGGGGGGGGG